GTAAGATGCAAAAAGCAGCGATTGGTCAGATGCAAAAAACACCGCAGAAAACATAAAAAGCCGAGCAAAGTCGGGTATGCCAGTTAGTTCAACATAAAGCTCATAAAGCTCAATGCTCCATCACATATGCGCGGGAATTTTTTCGTTGGCGGCAGATTATAGGGTTGGGGCTGACGCGAAGCGGGAACGGTGATCAACACTCATAATTTCAGAGGCATTGCTTCAATGAAGCGCCAAAAGCAGGCTTTTATTAAGAAATCTCAATGTTCCATTTCAGAGAAATTTAAGCGGGGGCAGGATATGAGTTTGAGGTGGGTAGAATGCGGAAATGGCGCCGATGCTCATAAGGACATGGTTCCGGCCAAAAACAAACTGCTTGGTTCAACTCGTACCTACATTCATATGTAAATAACAATATTACACCAACGGTAAGGCAAGTCGCAATCACTATGAAGCGGAAATGGAGCGCAATGCCCTTATTTTAAAATTGCAGGGCAAGATGCGAGTTCTACTGGTATTGGATGCATACCTTAACGGTCACTCACTTTGGATAACAAATAAGGGTATAGGTGTGAAACAGAGCTTCATCATAGTGCTAAAAGTAATTTTTGGGCTGAAGGCAACGCTACATTCGAATACATGTAAAAGATTTACATCGACGGTAGGGCATGAAGTTGATTCAAGTGTGAAGATCTGCTACAGCGTCAATGTGCGGCGTGGAATAGCCATGTCGTATTGAGCACATAACTGCCGGTCCATGATTAACATAACTCCTAACCTCATTTACTGTGCTCGTCCCAACCTCCTCAAATGAATTTTGCACTTTTTCTTGTATTTTTTTCCCGATGAACGTCTGCTCTAAGCCTCCAGACTCCCCGATTAAAAAATAATGTCAGCCTATCCTAAATTTCTTAGCTTCTAACATTATCCATGCAAAACTTTTTAGACTTCTACACGGCCTTTTTCCATGGGTTGGCGACGGTGACATACCTAGGGTTTTTCTTTTTTTTTTTGGCTCACATGCCCGTACCATCCCAGTCGCCTTTTTTACATCCTTCTGACGGCGGGTCATCAGAAACATAATGTATCAGGGCGATACCTGATACCCACCCCAGCATTCTTGTCTCCAGATGCTGAGGTGTTCTTCTCTTCGCTAATTTGACCTGTTCACTGCTGTATAGCACTGGCAATTTCTAGTACAGCACATGGATTTTGAGTTGCTTGCGCATTTGCTTACCACACAAAATCCTCTGAAAGCTCTTGCCAGGCTGCACAGATCTTATTCGACGCTCGTTCTGATTTCTCTCCCAACTTTTTTAAATACATAACCGTCTCTTTAACTAGCTCATCATGGACATGTATAGTTGCTGGAGCTTGTCCCATTTCCATATAAGCTGTCTGTTAACTCAAGCCTTTCGACTCTAATTGGGTTTTCGATTGTATAGCCTCTTCAGCCTCTTTTTATTTTCTACCATTACAGCCACATTATCTGCAAAAAGCTTACAACAGATGTCATTTGAGGTTTTGATAATGTACCCATGATGGCATTGATGAGTAGAGGAGCAATAATTCCGGATGTATGCCATTGATTTTGACTGCCCTGTCGCATCCACTCATACCTCCATGATAGATTCTCCTCAGGTTAGATACATAGAGCCATGGCTCTGGTCACCTTCATTAATAAGCGAAAAAAGAGTAGGACCTTTACCAAAGAAAGTATGAGTAAGTCAAGGGCCGGGGCGAAGCCCCGGACCCCGACTTTCTACACATTGGAAGTATGAAGATCGAGAACTATAAGAACAATAGAGGGAGGAAATTTGCACTTTGTTAACGAATCAAGATTGAAATATCGTAGTACACAAGAGCTGCGGATTTTAGGGATAATGATGAGAATGAGGAGTTTTCTCCATAAAAAATGAAAAGGTGTAGTTTGGAAGGTAGAAGTTGGAGTTAAAAAGGCCACAAAGTGTGAGAAGTAAGGAAGGTAGAAGTTGGAGTTGAAAAGGCCACAAAGTGTGAGAAGTAAGAGCTGAATTCGCATATAACTATTTCTTTCAAAGCAACTGGTATGTCTAGGAACTTCAAAAGGCATGCATCGTTGGAAGTAACAGTTTTTATGATTTAGAATTGAACTACAGGAGCATGTACGTAAAATAGCTTTGGGTAATGAAAATCAAGAGAAAATCGGGATTAATTCGTTATGATGGAAATTATGAAAGCTGCGCAGTTTGGATTCTCCATACGAACCTGAGCAGAGTGATATATGGACGTTGGCGGTTTCGTTGAGTAGAAGCCGAGATATGCCATCAGAGCCAAATGCCCCGTCGGCTCTGGTCGTTCTTTGCCGCCTCTCCAAAATTGCACACTCTCTACACAACTAGGCGTCTTCCACGGGGCATTTGGCTCTGGTGCCCTTTTCTCCGTTATCTGCAAGTTAATGTAAGCAAATCGCATATCATAATGAAGGCCTTGAAACGTACATTTGAACAGACAACTGCGCAACATTCAATTTTTTGACTGTGAATAAAAAGAAAAACCGTGTTTTTTGTTTTCCTCGATTTCTAAGTTAAATTGAAGTTTTCAAATCAGAATTGTTATGTTTTTTTTGCAACATTTTTCACTGACGACTGTTTAAGAAAAAAAAGCTTCCCACTGATTACCTTTTGAATCAAGAAAATTTCCTTATTTCCTCTTCAGCTACCATAGTATATCAAAAACCACCATCACTTTT